TACTGTTGTAGTAGCAACTAGTGATAGCACTATCTAACACTAGTTCTTGTTATAAAACTAATAATTATTATATTAATAATTTATGGTCATAAACACTAACTAGAACCTATTTAATAGAACCTATTTAATTTAAATAGGTTCTAGTTAGTGTTTATGACCATAAATTATTAATATAATAATTATTAGTTTTATAACAAGAACTAGTGTTAGATAGTGCTATCACTAGTTGCTACTACAACAGTATAGATTCAGTGAAATGATCCAACAAGTATTTCAGGACTAGTGTTCTACTTCATAACAACACCAACCATGTTGTTAGTGTTTATGGTCTTTTGCTCTTTAGCAACTTTAACAATCTAATGTTGTGCTTGCTGTGACTTTTTAAGAAGTATTATGGCCAGATGTGAGGGCAGCGTCTTTGGAGTTACCAATTCCCTCTTTGGGGCTGGCCTCTCAGTTCTTCTCACTGACTCTGTCTATGCTGAGTCAGTTTAGAAGGTTACTAATGTGACAGTCTACTAACTAATCAAGTAGGTTAGTTATGTCACAACCCTCCTAATTGAAACCCCCCCTTGATTAGTGTATTGTAATGGCTCTGCAGTAGTTCCTGAAGGCTACTAGCTAATCGGGGGGGGTGTTCAATTAGGCAGGTTGTGACATAACTAACCTACTTGATTAGTTAGTAGACTGTCACATTAGTAACCTTCTAAACTGACTCAGCATAGACAGAGTCAGTGAGAAGAACTGAGAGGCCAGCCCCAAAGAAGGAATTTGGGCAGCCCCAAATTCATGATCAATTCATACTGCGATCCATCAAGTATTTCAGGACTAGTCTTCTACTTCGTGGTAACTCCAAAGACCCCGCCCTCACATCCGGCCATGTTAGCATGAACGAGAACACTTGTTTTGGATTAGGTGGGTTGTGACATAACTAGCTAACATCAATTCAGTGCTAACTTTAGTATAGTTTCACTACTTATCCAACACTACAATAATTTCATTACTTGTTACTATTACTAACAACATCTAACATAGATGTTGTTATTACTACAACAACTATTACGAGCTATCTAAGTACTAATCACATCAAACACAAATTATAATTCCCAGTAGCCTCACACTGACCACTTAACAACAACCTTCAGAACTTAAGTTTGGCTGTGATCCTTCAAGTATTTCAGGACTAGTTTTCTACTTCATGGTAACTCCAAAGACCCAAGACCCCACCTTCACATTAAGCCACATAACCATAAAGAAAAGAAAAACAGCTTCACAGCAAAATGAATAAACAGCTGCAACTAAAAATTGCAAAACTTGGTACCCATTATGTATATAAAGTATTTCAGGACTAGTCTTCTACTTCATGGTAACTACGAAGACCCCTCCCCTACCCTGCCTTCATACCAGGTTGTGTGGCTATCTAAAGAATTTCATGCACTCCTAAAGGGTATTTAAGTTTTTATTCAGTGTTTTTTTTTACTTTTATTTTATTATTGCACTTTAAATTAATTCTTCATTCTTTTTGAGACGTCTGTTGAACCTTTTGGGGGGGGTGTGAAACTTTTTTTTTCTTTTTTTAAAGATATACTGTTACTAAAAAATTCCCTATGAATATGTTTGCATACTAAATGAAAGGTTCTTATCTTTTTTTCTTTTAGAATGAAACAAATAAGAAAATGTTTTTTTTCTTCTCGTGTAAATGTACTTTTCATTCACTCATTCACTCAGAAGACTGGCTGCTGAAGCCCTCTGAAAATGTGCCAAACTATATATATATATATATATATAAAACATTGATAAAAAAAAATAAAAATCTGTGGAAAGCTACTTTTTCCTACCTTTTTCATAAAATAAATGTATAATGCTAAACCATAACTTGCCATATGGCAACTACATGTGACAAAGGAACTGCATTCTTCAATGGAGTAAACCCTGGAGGAAACACTGCCACTCCCACGGCTTTTACAGTCCAAGTTTTCTCAAATCACTATAATTATTTTACATTTCAAGACATTTATGTTAGATACGGTTATTATTATTTTTATAATGCCATAATGCCTGGATGATGAAGGTGGCTGTGTTCTACGTAACGTATGGTTTAACAAACAAGCGCGGATGTGACGGCCCTCAAAAACGAGTGAACTTTAACTAAAGGATTAATGAAACTGTCCTACGATGCTGAAACAAGTGGCGACTGAAACAAAACTAATTCAGCTTCAGCATGGGCAAAGCAAGTGTCCATGCACTATTATCTTATTTATCATGTGCAAACGTTTGTGCACTCCTGGTCAAATTACATCATGTTGATTTACTGAATCAAAAGAAGTGAACACATCCTCCACAGACAGCACACTTCTGCACATTTAATCATTTGCTGAATTTAACATGTTGGAAAAATGAAACGAAGTAAAATGGGTCCTGTGCTTCATGTTTTATGTTTCATGTTTCATAGTGGTCCTAATGGACGAAGTTTGGGGTCAAGCAGGAAGTGCACTGGGCCAGATGTAAAAATGACAAATCTACTGCTTTTGATTGTTGACATTATTGACAATTGCTGATTACTTTAATAATTTTACAGCAAATCAGGCAAACGGTAGATTGCTAAAATATGATGCACTTCCACCAATAGAGATGTAAAAAATATATACACATCATTTTGGAGAGCATCACGCTTTTCGTAAAGCATTTTTCCCCTTAAAAAGCCATATAAATTTGTCAATAATTATTAGAAATAATTTATTCTCTAAATTTGAGAAACACTTACCTTCAACACTGCACTGAACCATGAGCTAGATCGCTACTGAGACCATTTCTCCGGAGTGACTGATACTTTCCTTACCTGATTGCAGTGTTTACCTCACAGTGAAGGAGATACAGAGTGACTAACATTTTTAATGACCACTAGGGGGCAGCAGTGCACATCATTGACCTCTTCAGTAAAAGGCCACAGGGCATGTGAGTGCGGTCACGTCCTCGGGAGGTACTTTTCAGCGTTTTTATGAAGCCAGTGAACAGAAACATGACTGACAAACCCGCTAACGGTCACAAAGCACAGCTGCTCGTAAATAAGTCGACGCAGCTGGGCCGGCTGTGTCTAAACACTGCTGGGAATCGTTTTAACCCGAGCTGTTTATCTGTGCTGCCTACGAGCGCCCGAAAGTTAACCTATTTTACACTTACTGCTCTGTACATGTTTTAGCTTTTCATTTTTCTATCGATGAAACGTCGAGCCAGCTCAGCTGGGCACCTGAGCGGCAATTGAGTTTGCTTAGTTAGCCAACAGCCTCAGATTAGCGGTGTCCTGACTGCACTAAAGCAAACAAACGGCGCTCACAAAGTCAACACTGTAGGAGTTTCACACACACACGAGCATTTTCTCATAAAAACATAACGTTTTAAATCATAAAACTCACCCACCTCAGTTTGCTGAAGGCCAATTGTCTGTAATTAGTGTCGGAGCAGTCCGGCGCATGCGCAGAACTCCGCGTAGCGAGTGGAGGACTGATTCGTTCTACGGAACCGGTTCTTTCGAACTGAGCGTTTCAATGAATCAAACGGCCAATGCGACTGATTCGTTTACACCAAGTCTCTATTAACACAATACATGACTGTTAACTACACATATAAACGGAGTTTATGCTGTGAAATCTAAACAAAAACATGGTATGTAGATGGTATGTAGTCCTGTATTCTATCGAAGCCCGTTTTGGTGACTGGAAGAAAATCTATAGGCATTTAGTAAGTCACAATAATGAGAAAGCTTCTCATAATTATGAATCGCATGTATCTATATATATATATATGTAGTAATATTCTTCCATAATATTCTGCCCTCTGACCAGATCAGGCTGACCAGATCAGTAGAAAGCTAACATGCTAACATGCCACCAGGCCAATAACATTTGAGATTATTATTCGAATGTTGGTGGAGTTATTCAGCTTAGAACACGGATGTTATAAACATGCAACAGAAAAGTTTTAAATAAATTCAGGTTTAAATCAATTAATTTAAAAAAACAGTTCAATGAAATACAAATCATTCACGAATCGATGAAGGCAGTTTCCATTACTTTGCTTCACTGTTGATGTCGAAAGCTCACAATGCCTCTGTTAGCTCAGCTAGAGAACTAGCAAAGTCCAAACACTGTTTCAACACACACACACACACACACACCAGTTAGCCAAAACCCATAAAACCCACAACTTAAAAGGGAAATGTGGGAGTGAGAGTGAGGAAATCCTGACACTGCCCAAACTTTCCACCCGTAGGACAATACGCTTAAAACAGTGCCACTGAAACAGGCTTCTCCACCATTAGTTAACCATTACAGGATATCGGGCCAATTCGTCCCACTCGACCATCACAAACGGTGTCTCGATTTCAGGAAATTTTAATCATCTTCCCAAATTATCCTGTGGTGTGAATCAGAGGGATAATCTTTACCCTTCCGATCTACTCAGAGCCCACCATGTTTTAAAATTGTAAATATTAAACATGTTCATATTAAATACAGTGTTGACGTCATGGGTAAAAAAAAAACGCTAAGCAATGAGAGCCAAGCTGATTGAAGATCCTAGTAGAATGAATGCATTTATAAATACACACAATGTAAATATATATATATATATATATATATATATATATATATTCATTGTCCTTTTCATTTCTTTTGTTTACACTGCTCAATTCACACAGAGCTACTGCAGTAAATCTATGCCTTGCTGTCACCAGCCACGGTTGGTTTGTTCACAAGAAATGATCAGAGATATCAGATTCTGAGTGACAGAGCTGTTGACCAGGCCGCAGATTCGTGAGCCTGAAAAAGCGTTTTCTTCTGGGAAAATCTTGTAGTATGGAGGTTTTGATGACTGAAGGGTGACAAATAAAAAAAACATCAGTGGAAAAACACGCTAAAACATGGTGTGTGTTTACTGCTGTGAGCCGCCCTGTAAAGCCTAAAATAAATATTCAGCTTATAAATGGATTCTCCAGCAGAGAATTCTGAAGGTCATGTTAAATTTTATTTGGTCTCGTTTCTTCTCTTTCCATTTTCTTAATGTTCCACAGGTTAAAACTCAATACAACAGGCAACAAAACAAAACAATTTATACATACATAAAACATATACTTGTTCTCTCACTTCACTCGCTCTCTCTCTCTCTCTCTCTCACACACACACACATACACACACACTCTTTGAAACACAAAGTCATAGAATGATTAGGCCCAGCCCAGTATGTCAAATCACAAAACACAAAACGAAGGCAAAAACACAAAGCCCAGTGGGAGGGGAAAAAAATAATATATCAAACTTATCCATAAACGTAAGGGAAGTCAACACACAACTTTTTGCGGAATATAATATCACAATAAAGCCTAAAATTAAAAAGAATGAACAAAAGGAGCAAAACAGGGTGTTCTTGAGAAAAAAGGAGCAGACGGCTGACGCCTTGGTCACAGAGAATATTCAGAAAAGTCCAAGATCTAGCTCTTCAAAACATCTGCAGGGTTTAATGTGTCCGTGAAGGTGTCTGAGAGGGCCATCTGAAGTGTTTTGCACCTTCTGAGTCTCATCCCAGAAAAAGGAACGGAGGAAAAAAAGAAAAGAAAAAAAAAGGAGGAAATCATAACCTTTGTGAATCAAGGCACATATACTCAGGCAATATCTGAGCAATTGGTCTGTTACTGATTACACATAGACACAGTTTGATTTGTCCCTTTGCAGCACTCATACTTCATCACATACTCCAGTGAAGTAAAATACAAAATACAATATACAAAGCATCCTGATGAGGAATCTGTCTCCGGCCCTTTCAAATATCTTTAATCCAGTGTCTAAAAGGCCTTAATAAATATATTTAAATCTCTCTTTTAAAAAAAATCTCTGTCACAGGGGAGTTTAGCACAGTACTATGATCCTACAGGCCACAAGCTCTATGTTTTCAGACACAAAGTGCTGGAGTTGATTGTGGTTGGCACTAAACAAAACAGCAACAGCATTAAAGGGGCACTCCTACAGCGGTGCCACAATAGTCATTAGTGATACTTTTCCATGTAAAGACTCTTTCTGATTATGTATCTTGAAGGTAGGCATAACACTTGAAACTCTAGGCCGGACACATGAAGGCAGGCTGATTGATTGTTTTTACCACTAGCTGACAAACATATAGGGTAGCTAATGCTATTGCTACAAAGCCACATTTCACATCTACGTTTATTAGCCTCCACATCAGTGCTATATATCGTTGCTGTCGGAAAAAAAAACACGTATCTCCTTGTTTCATTTGAGCACTGCAGCTGTCCTTTACGTTATGTAAAAATGTAATGATGAATGGACCCACAGAAATGACACAAAATTACTTCAAACAGATTTTTTCTACATTAACTTACATTATGAGTTAAAAATGTTTCGCCTTTTCCTGTGAATTTATTTTGGAGATACTTGTTTTCTTTCTGAACAGCGACATAATGTAGATTTCTTTATCACCATGGGGGCGATTCCCAATTATTATTTGACGTATGTGTGTACTGCACACTGAATATTGTAATATATATATATAATAGTGGAATCTGTCAATCCACTGTTGTGAATGTAACCTGTGATGCTGAGGGATGCAACGCTGCACTGTAGAATACTGCATAACATGATATACCAAAAGCTAGTTTTATGTGAGAATGCCCCTTTAAGGCAAAGCATCTGCAAGGAGGTCAGCCTAGCGCTGCTAATTCTAATTCCACAATACAGCCTGGACTAAATGAAGAAATGCCAGATATTCTCACTCACAACGCCCCCCCCCCCATGCAACATGGCTTAGAAGCAGTTTACAACTTGAAGATCAAAAAGTCTTTCTTTGGCACATGGAATGACAACAGTGTCTTCTGAGGATCTTTGCGTAACTATTGGCTACTGACTGGAACTACCACGACCTGCTGACAAGTAAAGGATTGTTTGCCACACATTCATGCATAAAAAGCTCTAAGAAACAACCACTTAACAGCAGAGGACAAGACGGTGCCAATAAATAAGACTGGATATGATGGCTGAGATAAATGTCTACTGGGCGTCAGGTGTGCGCACACCTGTTCAGTCTGACCCGGGGGTCCATCACAAGCATGCGGGAGTTGTTGCCTCGGAAACACACCCCCACATTCAATTTATTTGATTTAAGAACTAATTGTTATCTCCGAAATGAGGCCAGCAGATGGTGACCTTGTAAATTGCCAGCAAAAACGCAGGAGAGATAATGCTAATGTTTCAGATGCCAGACCTAAATGGCAACTTATGCTAATGTTGATGCACAGAGAGCAGTTTTAGCTTCACTGGAGGTTCGCAGACATGGCATTATGATGGAGATAGCATCATCATCAGTTATCTATAACTTTTAAACTGTTCCTGATTCACAACAAGTCCACTCTTTTAAAGGAGGGGGGAATGGTTCTTTAAAAAAATAAGCATAAAACTATTTTCTTTCAGCTCAGTGAACAATTTCACGCCCTGCTGGCTACCATTCACCTTAGCCATGTTAGCTTTTCTAGCTAAACCATTCTTTTAAGGTTCTCTATTCGCAGAATATCAGGCCTCAATTTTGAACTTCAATGTATTTACATGGATCATTAAACCATTAGAAGTTTCTCAGCAATAGCTGAGCTGGATTTTCTGTTTCTGTGTTGGCCCGTTTCTGTCTCCAGCGCTAGACAGTGATTAGCAATGACAGAACAGCGCAATGCCTGAGAGAGCAGGATGGCTAATCGACTCACAAAGCCTACTCACAAATCATCCTGGTTTATCTGCCAGTTAGTGTGTACTAAAAACTGACAATACACCAGGAATCATCCATTTTTTTCCAAAGTTTTTGACAGCACTGATGTCAGCTAGGTGTTTGCATGAAAAAACAACGGTATGTGTAACATTAGCATGAAAACGTAGCCTGTGGCGAATGGTCTGAGGGGTTGAGGTAGGGTTCAATCTGAGCTTGATTTGAACTGAGATGAGTTAATGGATTTCTGAACCGCTGGCCTGGGAAACATTCTTCTGCCTCTGCAGTTCTGAAAATGTGGCAGCAAATTTACTGTGAGAAATGCTAAACTGGAAAATGCTAGACTGAAACGTATTTGGACGCTACTGACAAAACTGCACATTGTCGGGAGGTCTAGCCACAATTATACAGCCTCTTGACATGGCTTTCTCACAAATTGACACTGTCGGTCTCGCACAAGACCACTTTGAACTCTAAAATACTGTTTTCTTTAGTTTCGCTAAATCACCACCCTGTGAAAATAATCGTCAATCTCAGAACGACTGAAGACAAGAAACCAAACTACAAATCTCACAGGCATTCATCTTTGGCATCAAAAAAAGAACAGGCCAGCCACAGTGCTAACACTCACCATGAGGGAGTCAACCCTCATAGATGCTATCGCTAAGCAGTGTAAAACCATGGTTGTTTCAGAGATAGGATTAAGGCTAACTTTGAGGAGGAAATTTGGATGCGCAATGTCTATCTGGAGAGATAGCAGCAGCTTTTGTGAGTGTTGGTTGTTCAGCAGCAAGCAGACAGATTAATCTGAGAGTCAACAACTGAAGAAGAAGGTCAGGGGTAATCTGTACTGTACATCAAGATTCCTAAAGTAGGCAGCATTCCCACTGAAGCCTGTTGCTCATGATTATTATGTATGAGGCTAAGATTAGCAGGCTTCTCCTTGAGAGAAGATTCCTTCAACATAGAATATATGGCAAATATGTCAATATGGCAAAATGTAATATCATAATAGGATTAGGAAATTTTTTAGGATACACGTCACGCTATTTAATTTTTCTGACATCTGTTAAGTTGGAACAGACGAGTTAGTGCCACGTTTTAAAAATACTATCAAAAACTATGAATCCAACTGCTCAAAGGTATTCAACACTTCACACACTGTGCTGCACTACATCAAACAGGGCTAAGCTCTCTTTTTAATCAAGCAGGCAGTTGGAAAGTGAATTTCAAATGCTGACGATATCCACGGTATGCTCAGGAAGGCAGACGGTGACATATTGTGGGGTCACTCATCATGATAACAGTAAATATGGTCATAATGCCAAGCTCAACTTCAACTATTCTGAAGGGAACGAGCTTTTTCTGCCAATGGCTCTATCCATGCTCCACCCTTGAATGCATTGTTTTGTAGTTACTGTTGCAAAGCTGGACAACTTTGTGTTGGCAAAAATGAAACCTAATCAGAAACTGTAGCATACAACTTTGCCAAGTTAGGCAAATGTAGAGCTGTTTTCGAATCTTTGATACCAGATTTAGAAGCCAGACTTCTGCCTACTTGGCACTTTCAAACTGCGCTTCATGTAGTAAACTACTTCATCTATTCCTAATGTTTGTTACTGTGCTCTGCTAACTTGCTAGTTAGCTAGCTAAGGGCTACACAACTAGCAAGAAAGAAGAAAAACAGTGCAACTAAACTAAAGCGCACTGACTTCTCAAAAAAGTGGGGGCATTACAAAGTGTGCTTAGCTAGCTCTTTAACTCACTGATGCTAACCTAACTGAGGGCTACTGAAAAATTAGCTTCTCGTTGTCATCTTTGGTCACCCCAAGACCTCAACCAGGACCCTTTTATTAGGTTTCTTTAACATATTGTATTGAAGTAAGATGTATACTATAAAAAGTTGAGGTCCAACTTAGCAGCCACATGTTTAAAAACGTGATTACATGAAGAAAATGACTATGCTCAATCTATCCTAAAATTTTGAGCTTTTACAAGCTTACACATCAACTGACCTTAATAATACAATCTAAATGTAAATATTATGGCAAAAAATAAGTTGTGCGCTTAAGTTTCTCATTAGGTTGAATGAGACTTTTCTCAAACTTCAGTAAAGTTTGTCCAAACTTGCAGAGAGAACATGGATCAATGTCTGAACGGCGCCCCGCTAATGTCACATTTCCTCTGTACACAGACTCTCTACAGACTTCGACTGCATTCACCTCTCACACTAAGTTAATGCTTACAGCAGGGCTGCTGCTCTAACCCTGTGCTCACAGAATTTCTGCACAGTGAGAGATTCTCGCTTTCTGTGCACTTTGGGAACAGAGGCAATAACACAGCAGTGAAAAAGCCTCCAGGGATGCTTTGATGTTACAGGCCGAATTCTCCCCAGCCTCGGCCGAAGAAGCTGAAATTACTCTCCTTGTTTGAAGAGGGAACCGAGCGGCGATTATATGTTATCATGGCAGACAACCCAGAGGTCACTTCGGGGGAATGAGGCTGAAGTGGAATGTAAGATGTCACTCCAGCAAAAGAAATTCTTATAATAATGCTAACAAAATCTGAACTTATCACTTCAAATGCATGCCCACGAATGGGAAAAACTGTCTGCACTTCTCTATTATGAGCTGTACAGCAAGTTTGCTGTACAATGTTTCGAAAAGGGGGGGAAAAACACTAAATCCTGTTATATCAACCCCTCTCCCCTGTAAGGCTGAGCTCAAGAAGGAATTTCACGGATGAAAAAAAACGACATAGATAAAAGATAAGAATCTTTTTCAGTACAGTACATGCACATTATCGCTATGATCACATAAGAGGGAGGTAGAGGAGACGTCCTACGCATCAAGACCTCCAGTCAGTAGTTTAAAGAAGATTTGGGGCACCATACTTTGTGGCTTAAATTAGAAGAAGCCAGTCTGGCCAAGGTGATCAAGCTACACATGTTTTGCCTTTTCTTTGATTTCTTTGCTGTTAGACATCGAGTTAATTAAAGTTAATTAGTCCCAGGGAAAAACCCGGTGGTGTCTGCTTGTGTTGGAGCTCATGTCACTCTGGCTGAAATCAATTAGCCACAGGTTTCTGGTCAAATCAGAGAGAAAAACGTCTCCGATGTGACTCCTTCCTTCTTTAAAAGAGGATAAACAAATAAACCACTAAAATATAATAATGGGGGCGTTTTCCACTACTTATCTATTCAGGCTCTGCACACAAATGCATTCTGTCATGGCAAACGTTATCAGGTTGGACAAACTTCATAGAACGGTGACAAAAATATTCAACTGACTGAGAAACTGCAGAGATCTTAGTTTAGAGTTTAGATATAGTTGAGTGTCCAATTTAAAATGCTATGCTACTGAGCTGGAGCTTTAGTTGGGCTTTAAGCTTTAATTTAATTTAGCTTTACGTGTATCCTAAGCTTTAATTTAAACTCCCAAACTAACACAAGAAACTGACCCTAACCAGCCCATGGGGACGATTGGATTAATATTTTTGTTGGATGATGAGTTCCGAATCGCTCCAACTCCTCCCAAAGGTATTGGATGGAGCTCCATCACTCCAGAGAACGGACTTAAACTGCGCCAGAGGGGCTTTATACCCCTCTAGCCCATGCTTGGCACTGGGCATGGTGCGCCAGCTCCAGCATCCTATTCCATCGGTCAGTGCTTTTTCTATCATACAAGCTGTATGTGCAACTGAACACCAGTGTTAGCAATGGGTGACCTTAATTTGCCGAATTTATCAATTAGAATGGGCTTCTAGATACTTTTGGACATAAAGCGCATATGTAAAATAACGGCTGAACCCATCTAAACCCAACGCGAGCAGTCGAGTCCCATCAGGTTCGGACAAGCATTTCGGGTTTGGATTACATTGTTGTAGCAAATCGAAACTTTAAAACAACAACTACAAATTTGCCATTGTGCAAACAATGGCACGGCTTGGCTAGACTACAGGAAAAAGTACACTCAATCTATTCTAACATTTGACCGTCCACATGCATACGAAATAAGCATTATTTAAAACTAATAACACTGCCACTCCAAATTTAGATATATTAGGTTGAATGGCATTTGATCAACATTCTATAAAGCTTGTCTGACCTAGCAACAGTTGCTAAGAAGAAGCACATTTTGGGCAGAGGCTGGATGTCAATTTTAGTTACTTTTTGCCCAGTAGAAATGACGCCTGCTGACGTGTTTTAAGAGAATTTGAAACCATTCTCTGGCTAACTGTTACCTTGTTGATGTGCTAATTTAGATTTGGTTACCGGTAAATGTGGAGGGCCTGCAATTTATGCTACAACGCAGCAATGCGCTGTTGGCCTGAGTTTTCCATTCTTTGGCACATGTGCAGAATATTCAGTGAGTCTGATTTGTTCTCCCCTGCAGCATGTTCTTATGTGCGCAGAACAATGCTTTAGCCTTGTACTTGGAATGTTACCTTTCCCTGTACGAAAGAGAAACTATGAAAGGCAATGTGTTTTTCAAGTCTTGTCAAAATAGCATACGTAAGTCAAGAAGCGGACTGGGCTGAAACAAGCTGCTATGGATTTCAAAGGTCCAGCGCAGCAAAGACAACCGTTTAGACAATGAGATTTTGAGGCAGAGACGCAGGCGAACAACAATCTGCTTAATATGAAGTAAAGAAAACCAAATAAACTCATATTAGGGACTTTGCACCACTGTTTTAAAAGAACAGTTCAACCAAAAAATGGAAACACAGCTAATGATGACTAAAACCTAGAAATGCCAGTTAGCAACAAAGCTTTCTCTCTGGCTTTCCTTTCCTGCTCTCGCTCATAGTTAGCATTTTTGCTTGCTGAAGGTAACCAATGGAAAAGGGCATCTGAAAGGAATGCATATTTCAGCTTCTCTGTTTCTGGGATTCACAGGCAATAAAGATTTAAGAAGGGCAAGCTCCCCAGTTTTACAGTGTCACTATGCGAGTAAGGTTGATTCGGTTGTGGAATAATCCTGTCTGAATGCATAATCTGCATCATAAAGATCTGCAAATATCATTAGGTTCTATTGTTTTAAGGGCAACAATGTAAGAACAGAAACATCCACTGCTTGGGGCATTACGTTTTCAAAGTCAACCAAAGCTGTTGTGCATTTATCCTCTTTCCAAAGGAACTCAAAGATCTCCAGAGCACCAAATACTGAGGGCAGCTGCTGCTTGGGTGCCACGCTGTCTTGATTCGAAGTGTATTTGACAGATAAGTGTGGCTTCCACTTCTGAAGTTCAGAATCTGTCGTCTCTGAGTTGTGCCGGCGACCTGAAGGGACTTAGACCCAGAGCCCTCCTGGGGCAAACTTTTTCTTTGGCAACACCTTGGGGCTTGGCGACCCCCGCCCAGCCCAGGTCAATGAGTGGGGAGTCAGCTGGGTTCAGTGGAGCGACCCTGAGAGAAAGGTTGGGGCTGCCGTTAGTGGAGCACGGTGCGGAGCGTGAAGTGGGAAAAGGTGCAGAGAAGGGATCGAAGGGTGAGGGAAGGTCAGAGTTAACAGAGGGGTCAGCCCTGAGGCTGAAAGGGTCACAATCTGGGGATGGAAAAGGATCGCAGTTCGTGAAGGGGTTGGTAGGCGAAGGCTGGTACCCCAGACGTGGACTCGTGGGGCTGCTAGCCGAGAGGTTGTTCCGCGAGTTGCTTTTTTCTGTCACACCGGCAGAAACGAAGCTCCAGGGATCGATCCGGGGCCGGATGGGGGACGGCCGGGGTCGTGGGATGATGTTGACCTCCAGGCGGCGAGTTTTGGGGCTCCAGAGACGAGGGTCCGGGTAAAGAGCGAACGGGGTGGGGGATTTGTCGTCTGCTTCCACCATAGTGTCTTGGCACAAAGGAAGGTCCAACACTGAGTGAAAGGAAGGGAAAAAAAGAGAAAGAGAAAATGGATTTACTTATATGACACTTTGAAAGATAGTTTTCACACTGAAAGCAGGTCGATCAACCTAGACATCATTGGTTTCTGAAGTCTGCTCCTTTGTTTTTATTTTGTAGCTGAAGGTCAAGCTTGTAGCCGAACAATTAATGCAAACTGCATACCTCAAACACTCACACACCTGTGATCCCAAATAGACTTCCTATATCTATAAACATGGACAAAAATACCGACTAAATACAGGCTTCAAGGTGGCTGCTCTTCCTGTTAGCTACGCCACATACTTTTTGTCCATTATACCGTGTCAGAAACCACATAAATAAATCTATTAGAGATTACTTAAAAAGGAATTTCTCAGATGTTTCAAAAGTTCTGCGTAATTATGATGTGAACAAAGTAATAAAGAGTGGTCTGGTGTGCTAGGCTCTGTTTAGAGTCAGTATTGCTCACAGTGGTGGTGACAGGAACCAGACTTCCAAGTTTAATACCTCGAAAAGCTCCCAAATTACAAATACTGTGCTTGAGACTTTGTTTCACGATAGTACTAAGATCATGTTTTGGCCTAAAACCATTCCCAGCACAGAGGTACATGCAGGGCATTGTAATTCAAAATAGTCCCCAGAAGGTTTTTTTTCAGATTTGCTATTATTATTTTACCATTATCAACATTACATATAAAAACATGTCGGTTCACTAGTCGTTTTAGATAACAGTGGCTATATTTGAGCTTCACCAACGTTAACCAGTCCACATGAAACCACCCTGAATAATTTACATCTCATTGTCACAAACTGGTGGGGTACAAGCTTCCACTACTTGTTAGCTACAATAGCCTAATAGCTCCAGTGCAAAACTAAAGAAGCACACTTCAGACGGCTGAAACTTGATTGTTCAGCTGCATTAGGCATGAAGAGAGAATAATCTTGGGATATTTAGTAGAACTATGGCTTAAATCAAGCAACATCACCTCCTTCAAAACATAGCCTGCTTTACCTAGTTGTGAGGAAAGTCCTTGACTGGATCTCCTCCTTCTATCTCCAGTTTGACTCACACCCTCATTTGCTGGCTCTCCATTAGCCTGAGCGATCCACTCGGCGGAGCTGTGCTGGGGGGTCCGGCGACCTGACCTGTCTCTGGGGTTTGGTGGAGGGGGAGTCAGAGGTAAGGGTTTGGTTTCGGGGGGCTTCAATGGGGCATCAAAAAGCCCTCGAGGCAGAGAGTCTGTACTAAACGTGATTAGATCCCCAACAACAGCTGGGTCTGTGGGCAAGTCCTCTACGGCCACCGGAGGGCGCTCTCGCTCCAGCTCCAGAGCAGGGTGGTTAGTCCTGGGGGCTGTTCGTGGAGGGGGTGTTGGTGGGTGCTGGGGCTCTAAATGCCGTCCCAGAGCCACGGAGGCCAGCAGGGCGGCGCCACTGAGCAAAGCCCGGTGAGTGCTTTTAGCATGTGCGGGAATGCTAGAGCGACAGTCAGGGTTTGGGGAACTGCGGTGGGACAAACATCCCTCCTCACTCCCGGAATCCTCTTCTGGAAGAGCCGTCCAGGAAGGCTCCTTAACCAAGCCAGAGCCTAGAATAAGAGAAAGACAGAAAGCACAGTGTAAAATACAGAGTACAAAACAAGGCCGAGGGTTTTATCCTAAAAGGAAAAGCTCAACAAAAAATCTAATTTACACAATTCCCCCATCCCAATTCCCCAATCCCTAATGTAGTCCATCAGGCAAGACGTGTTTGGGTGTCTGAAGTTAGCTTCTTTAGTTTTGCACTGGAGCTATGAGGCTCAATTAAGGCTTCAAGATGTTCTTAGCTTTACTTTTGTCCATGTTTGTAGATAACGGTATGTCTCACATACCACAAAAGGAAGTTCATAAAGGATTACTGAACAACTCAATACAGTCTGATGCAAGAGTGTGATGATTTAGGCGTACAGTTTCAGCAAAAAAATGTCCGTAACTTGTAAGCTACGTTAGCTTTGTAGCTTCAGTACAAAAGTAAAGAAGCAAATTGAATTTATACAGATTTGTCTATGTGGTTTCTGACATGGTATGACAATTTTATCTATAAAAATGGATAAGAGTATATTGCTTGGCTAAAAAAAGTTCTGAAGGCCTGAATTTCATTCATACTTTGTCCATTTTTATGCATAACAGCTTGTCACCGTTGACTACACAAGTACTAAACAATCTTTAGACACTAAACATGTCTTGGCTATTCGACTAGATTTGTGGGGAAAAGGGTAAATTTGATTTAACTGCCTTAGCGATCATTATGTTTCCTTCCTGAAAAGAAGTAGCACGTATCTTGTAGATAAACTTGTAAAAAAGAACAGTCTGTCCATATTCTTCCATATTACAGTAAAAAAGGGAGTCTACCATTCTGGCTTGGTTCTGGTGTAGTGGGTCTGTACTCCTCAAAGTCATCTTTGGAGTCTCCATTCTCATTACTGTCCACCTCCAGCAGCCTCGCCCTCATAGACAGACTGAGAAACACACACCGACACAGGCATCAGTAACACAAAAATCAATAATCAATTATTAGTAGTGTTTATGAGAACTGCACATCTCATGTTTTTTCCAGAGAAATCCTAAGAGAGCTACTAAGCAGAGAGGTTTACAAAAGCTTAATCAGTCTATCAACAACGCAAACAACTTGCTTCTAATTAGTGACAGTGACGATTTTCAGGCTACAGAAATTTATATCACCAGCATCACAGCAAAAACTCATATCTTTGAAATACACTAATAAAATCTGCCAAATTGGCTGGCTCACCATATTTTGGCTGATTTTTATTAGTCTTTTTTTTTTTTTTTACCCAAAGCTCACACTGTGTGGGCTAAAGGAACACATGAAACATTCCAGCACATTTCCAGCATTTTCTGTTAACCAATGTTACAACATAAATAAAATTATTTGCTCTTTAATGAGTCAAACTGGAAAAAAAACTCCTTCTGTTGCTTATTGAAACAACATGAATCAAATAAAGCACTAGTAAGAGGCAACAGGCAATGTAGAGCAATGAGTCATGCATGATTAATCTATGGCATCCTGGTACAGGTAGTAGCAGCATTCATATACAGTGCAAGTGCACTTACCTGCCTCACCTTGTTTACCTCACAAAATTACAGCACATATATTGGGCAAAATGAAAATAATAAATTAACAGATTCCAACTGCGCATCTCTAACAATGCAACAACATTTTAATTTCTATTGGTCCATCTGACATTTGGCACCTTCTTTTAACAAGAAAAAACGCTGATAGAAGCTTTTAATGTGACAGCAATGACATATAAACATGATCATATAACTGCTCAGTGTGTATGTGTACCCGCAATCTTGTGGACTGAGGCGCAGGACTTTGGGGCTCTTGGGGCTTTTAGGGCTTTGGGGGCTCCAGTGGGGGGGCAGTCTGCGCTCTCCATTTGGCTGCTTCAGAGGAAGAGTCTCCAGTGGCCACACGGAGTTCCACTTACTATCACTGGGGCTCACTGCAGGAGGAATAAACAAGATGGAGAGGAACCCAGTTAACCAAAGCATGCTGTAATTTTATATGAACCATTTCTCACTCGTAGCCAGACTCTAAAAATTCATCCATACCACCTTTGCGTGTGTCAGTAGAAGAGGCGATGTTTTATTCTGAGTTTAATTTGATGAAAAGTTATTGTGGTGTGTATAGTCTCGTTTTGTGGACAGAAGAAAGTCAGAACAGCAATGTAATAAATAACGTAACTTTGTGTACTTTAATTATATGATTACTTTTAATTAGCATATCAAAACAACATTGATATCTCTCATGAGGGACTTATACTGGTTAAAATACAGGGTTCACATTAGACTCAAAACCTATTTCAACCACCAGAAGCAAAAGCTGATACTCAATTTATGCTCTTTGACTCCAGTAGAGAGCAGTATAATTACAGCACTGTTGCTGCTTCCACAGTACTCTCAGACATGACACGCAGCACACTCTCAAGATTCAGAAAAACTGCAGAAAGGCTTTACTGCTTAGAGAGCACGAATCAAGGAAAACTGAATCTCCCTTGCCTTTTTTAAAACTAAAAGCATGATGTGTTAACATGGTTAAAGGTTCAAAGCGTACCATTCGCTTCCCAGTTCGTACAGCCCATAAACGCAAACTATGATGCAAAAACAGACAGTTTTCAATTCTGTGATGTTTTGAATTCTGTGATGTCACGAGACCCAACTCCTTTAAATACCTCCACCTATTTAGCCTACAGCAATTTAGCAGTTAAAAGGAGTGTTACAGCTCAGAGTGCTAGCAGTTTGCTAAATTGTTATCAGTTCGGGAGTGGTTCACTGAAATGGAGAACGCCTTTATATCATTCCTGACAAGAGAGCGAAGCACTGCGCTTCGACTGGGCAAACACAGTATTATTAAGTATGTTATGTTTATTTTATTTATATACAGCGTGATTCAAAAGAATCATCCGATTTCAAAGAGCCATATTTTTACAACCGCGAGGCGCCTAAGAACCAATCACTTTCCACCTGAAAGAGGGGGTCACTGCTCTGAGCTCCAACAGCTCAGAGCATTCGTCATTGGTACCAACAGTTCCAAGAAAAAAGGTCACCAGCATCACCAGACCTCACGCCGTGTGACTTTTTTTGTGGGGGTACATTAAGGATTCTGTTTATGTGCCACTCGCAACAACACTGGATGATCTTCGAAATCGCACTGAAAGAGCCGTGAGCACAGTGACACCCGACATGCTCAATCGAGTATAGGATGAATCTGACTATCGCGTTGATGTTGTCCGTACAGCTGGAGGAGGTTCATACTGAGCACTTGTAAAATTACTTCATAAACTTTATGTTCACTTTAACCATTTACAATTTACTGCATTGTTCTGTAATGATTTACAAGTGAAATAAATCAGTAGCAGTAGTAGTAGTAATAATAGACACACTAACGTTGGATGGCACGGAAGCGGGGTCCGATCGAAGGAGACCCCAAATCTGGAGAGTTTCGTCTCTTCTCCAGCCCTGGAGACGCCTGCACTGTGATCTTATGGATGAAATCTAGAAAAAAAAGGCACAAACATAACTTCACTACAATTTACTTAGTCTGTGTTAACTAATGTTATTTATAAGATTTCTATAATCAATATAATAAACAAGCTGTTACTTTTACTCTTTTTGCTTGTATAAAAAGTTTTCATTTTAATAAATGAATCTAGGCCCTACACAATTATTACATATTTGTCTGATCACAGTTATTTGAGAGGATCACAACTATTTTTTCCCCACAGTTGTTAGATTTCACAATCATTTTATGCTGCAACAAGCAAAATGTGAATTGGGTGCAATAAAGGTAAACAAACGTAAGCAGTAACTGCATTCATTGAGACATTAGGGGACTTGTAAAAATGTCAAATATGATGCGCCAACAAATTCAAAGGGCAGTGGTGAGTAATGTTTGTTTATTTGTTAGCTATGTAGCTACTTCCAACATTTTTAGCATATTAACTGTTAATCGCAATTTTCTATATGAAAATGAATCATCACCTAAAATGTCATGACAGCCCTAACTGAAACATATAATCACATAAACTGACTCTATATCATTTTAATACTTTTATGAAAGGTAAAATGTCTGTGATGTTGAAAAAGAGAAATAATGAATGTAGCAAATAAATATGTAGGACAGTAACTACCACGGTTTTCATGCACACACAGGCACAGACGCCCATGACACAGAGTGAATGCTCTACAATGGCAGATCATATTTCACTCCACTAAAGTCGGTTTTAGTGGCAGTTTGTTTAAAACTCATTATTTAAAGGAGAATTCCACTGAATTTTTCAAAAATTCTGCACAACCCCATCATTAAGATGTGAAGCAAAGTCATTCAGAGTGGTTTGATGTGAAATGTGTCATCTCAGAGATATTTTTAGAGTCATTATTGTTCACAATAGGGGTAACATGGACCATCTAAAGGGTAATGACTTTAAAAGCTGCCTCACCGAAAGCTGTTACATTATGAATATACTGCCTGATGCCTGAAACATTACTTTACGAGAGCAAAGAGGGGAGGTACATGTGGAGAGTTACATATAAGGTAGAAAGGTAATATGCAGGACAATATAAAGTAATGTAGTACCCAAAGAAAATGTATTTTTTTCACATTTACTATGATTTTACCACTATCCACATTGCATATAAAAACTCAGAAAACACATGATTTAGATAGTAAATTAAATGTCTACATGCGTGTTGTAGACATTGCCACCCCTGGTTCCTATCACCACCACTCTAAAGAAATCAGTAGGTTTCTCTATAATAAACCATTTCACATCAAAACACATGTTAAGCAGGAATTTTGAAAGATCAGTGGAATTCCTTTTTAATGTAAAGGCTTTTAAATATACTTTTGATATCTAAATTTACTTTAGAAATTAGGGATATACATTCTGACTAATTTCATACTTCTATGTAAAAGAGTTAATGAATAAAAACGGTTAATTGTGGGAAAGAGAAAAATGAGCTTTTTCACCTGACAATAATGTATCATGGTAAAATGGTATGCTAGAGCTAGGAGGGCAAATTTCCCTGTGCTTGAGTAAAAGAGCTAATGCTAACACTAGAGCTAAGTGGCGCAGCAGTCGATGGTGATGACTCGTCATCTTTTATGCACATCTTCAGCGCCTACCCTGTGGCATGCTGATTTTCTCTCCGTTCTTGCCCTTCAGCTTGTGCTTTTTGAAGGTTCCTTTGCGCTTCTTGACGTTGGGTTTCTCCTGGTTCTGGTTGAGGTGGAGGATGAGCAGTGAAAGTTCCCTCTCGAACACATCCTGCTCCCACTGCGCCAGCTGCTGCTCCCGCAGACGCAGGAACTCCTCGTGAGACTTCTGCTCCAGAGCCGCTCGCTTCAGCTCCTCCTCCCGACACCGCAGCTCCTGCACATCACACACACAACTGTGTATTAGATATATTAGATAGAATAAAGATGTCTTTGGAGAAATCATTGGAGCAATGCCACGGAAGAACCACTTTTAAAGCATCTGATTGACAAGTAGGTAAACACAAACCAATCTGAGACAACAGAAGAGACCGACAGCTGATTTAATTGTCTGCAAAGATGCACATTAACTGGGTAACTGGGTGGGTAGGATGGCCCTGCCTGTCCCCCCATCACTCAGCGCAATGCTAGCGCAGGCATCTGTTAGCACACGTAACAGATCTGGCGGTCGGCGCTTTCCTCTGAGCGCGTTCGGCTGTCTAATGACATCTAATGACTGGCTCTTCAGTAGCATTGGGGGCGGGACAAGACCCAAACATTATTCAATCTGAACCAGAACTAGTGCAAGATCAAGTAGAGCAGTCTGAGGAACGGCTGACCGATGAGTGAACTAAACTATATAGAAACTAGCTTTTCCTTCATGGTGGATGACCAAAGACATGCTCAATATTGATTGGTCAGCTGTTGCACTGCCACTCCAGCACTTAACTTTTCAATCTTAAACGTGGCTTAAAAACACTATGTTTGCTCCATAGACAACAATAAGAAAAACATGCCTAAAAAGCTGTCACCTGAATGTCCCCTACATAATTTGTTAATCGCTATCATGATACTGGCTTTTCCAGGGATTATATCACATAAGGCTGCAATATGCAAATGAGCCCTCTGACCGATCACAGTGTTTAACTGCTTGCTGTTAGTGTCCTGACCAAGCACAGTTCCAGATGAGTGTTTCTTTGGGTGTTTTGATGAATCAAGTTATTTACATTTCGGTCAAAATAATGCAGGACAGTCTTTAACCATGTTACAGCAATAACTTTTTAATGAACTGTAAAGTGTCTCAATCACAACATGAAATAATATAATCACAATCCAAGTATTCTGTCCACTAATATACATGCAAACTCACCTTCTCCTTGGCGCGGAGCTCGTCGAACATGTCCTGGATCTCCAGTTTCCAGTCCTCCTGCAGTGAGTGGAAGGAGTCCTGAGGCATCTCCTCCATCACCTGCTGCTCCAGAGCGCACAGCTGAGCCAGGATAGAGGCGAAACTCGGCCTGCGGTGGGGGTCCTGCTCCCAGCACTCTGATACATTTACACACATATAGAGAGAAAACATACAGTTATGTGAGCACATACAGACTGAGTGATGGATAAATGGATGGGTGGGTGGACGGACGGACGGACTGGTGGACAGAAGAAAAAATAAACGGGCAGACTGACGGAGGGACAGGTAGATGGATGGATGGACTGATGGCTAAATGGACAGATATATGGACAGACTGATGGATGGATGGACCAATAGATGAATGGATTTCAAGAGAAAAATGAAAGAGCTCACCTGACATGAGTTGGGCGAATGGCTCAGGGCATGTGGAGGGGATGGGTAAGGTCAGCTTATTGACGGCCACTCCATACGCTACAGCCAGACCATCTATACCTCTGTAAGGAGCCTCACCTGTTAATAACTCCCACAGCAGCACACCGTAACTACAAAGAGAGAGAGATAGAGACAGAGAGAGAGAGAGACAGAGAGAGAGAGAGAGAGAGAGAGAGAGAACAAGTTAGCATGTTTAGTTACGTTCATAAAAGATCTGAGTGTACTATATATTGATTTTTGTGTTACTGTAGCCAAGTAGTACTACAAATCTAACCCTAACCTTAACATAACAGTTTTCAAAACCATACCTGTGGTGAAAACAACACATGCTCAAGTGAAGACTAGCAAAATGTTCTCAGGCAAAACTGTCACGTCTTCTTATCACTTTGACAAGAATTATGAGCATGGGACAGATGCTCAGATTTGACTCACAGTAACTGATATTTGATGAGGTATGTACTGCACTCTGGAAGAGCAGAAAGTTTAGATGACGCTAAGCTGCTGTAATATTTATTAATTTTACTGTATTTATAACCATCCATCCATCCACCCATCATCTAAACCGCTTATCCTTCTGGGTCGCGGTGGGGTGCTGGAGCCTATCCCAGCTGTCATTGGGCGGAAGGCAGGATACACCCTGGACAGGTCGCCAGTCCATCGCAGGGCAGACAGACAGACATACACATTCACACACACTCACTCACAATTTAGCACGTCCAATTGGCCTGACTGCATGTTTTTGGACTGTGGGAGGAAACCGGAGTACCCGGAGGAAACCCACGCAGACACGGGGAGAACATGCAGAACTCCACACAGAAACGACCCTGGTCACCCGGCCGGGAATCGAACCCAGGCCCTTCTTGCTGTGAGGCGACAGCGCTACCCACTGTGCCACCGTGCCGCCTGTATTTATAACCCTACAGCAATAAATGTTATCTTTATCTGTAATACTAATGCAGGTAGACGCAGACATGTACATACAAATTACAACAAAGAGAGAGAAACAGAATAAGAGAGAGAAAAAGACACAGACAGAGAGAGAGAGAAAAAGAGAGAAAGATTGGATGAAGGAGGAGAGAGAGAGATTGGAAGAACGGAAAGAGAGAGATTGGACGGAGGGAAAGAAAATAAGAGAAAGAGTAAGAAAAGAAAGAAAGTAAGAGAGAGAATCAGAGGGAGGGAGTGAGAGATTGGATGGAGGGAAAGAGAATAAGAGAGAGAGAAAAAGAAAAAGTAATAATACAGAGAGAAAGAGAGAAGGGCTATTGGCATCCTCAATCAGATCAAAATGAGGAATCAAGCAACTCTTTAACCGGTAAAAGCAAACTTAGTTTCACTACAGCACACACACACAATGAAGCCAAACAGATGGAGTCACACACACAGACACACACACACACACACACACACACACACACACACACACACACAAACAGCACAAAGACACACGCTGGATGCAGCTGTTTGGTGTCCACAGAAGGAAAAAAAAGCAGAAACCTCTGTGTTTTGGCTGACTTGCACTGACAATTACACCCTGAAAGCCACACAAGAGCATTTCTCCTTTAAAACGCTCTCACTGAGAGAGAGAGATTCGCCCACAGTGGCTTTATATAGACCCTTAATTACAGCATACACACACACACACATACAGACACACACACTCTCACTCTCACTGCACAACACAGCTTTCTCTGCCTGCAGCTTCTAAACACCATAATCTGAGGAATATATAAAGATGCAGTTAAAGTCTTTGAAATAAAAGGGACAGGCTGTTAGTGATTGTGCAGCGGTTCAGTGCTGCAGTAGTCATCGCAGAGGGAACGGAAAGTGTTCTCATTGACTTCCAGAAGTGCTTCAGCACAGATGTGTGAATTTTACAGAGAAAAGCTCAAAGCGGTGGGATTTCATGCTGTGAAACTTTGTGGTTGCACGGCTAACAAATTTCGCTAATAACTTCCAGATACGCTCAGCGGCTTCCGCTTCATTTAAAGCATGCACGAGAAATCAGGGCCACATGCGGTTCGAAAGAGCCAGAAAGTGAAGCCGGCGCTCTGTAACTGAAAACTGTCCAGTCATTATTTAAAAGAACAAATCCACCTGACATTGAGTTCAGAATTCAGTACGGCTGCTACTGTTTTCAGCTGTGCTACAGTGCCAGAATAAGCCGGTCTATCAGAGATTACTTAGCTTAGAGTGGGCACACTGCGTCTTTACCTCCTTGGGGTTCACAGTGCGCGTTTTTGAATGCTGCTTCTGGCTGCCCGTCTCCCCGTTGCTAAGCAACAACGTCATGTTTTAATCAGCTGAGCTGGCTATCATTTGATATGTTCAGAGAGAAAGTTCTATCACTCATATGAAGTATCATTTACAAGCAAAACAAAGCGCTAATGCTGGCAATAACAGTGATATCAGTAATACGCCTTCAGCAGACTAGACTGGACAGTGCATGCGCGAGAAATCAGGACAAATCAAGAACTTGCAAAGTAACAAAAGCAACAGCAAAGTCAAAAGTTCTAGTTCCCCTTAAACAAGACAGCGCAGCGGTATGAAAGCGTCAGAGACGACTACGAATTTGGAGGAGCTGGACCACGCAGCCACTGGAACTGCATTCACTCTATCTTCACATTCACTCTGCGTTCATGTGAATTTTCACATTCAGGATCAACTGGAATTACTAAAAGTAATAAATACATTCTAAGCTCATTTTGTCTACTCATACAGCTATAACAAAGTGAACTGCTTTTTAAATGGAAAAAAAACTTTCTTTAGGGGGAAATCTGAGCAAATACAAATGCAACTAATCGTAAAGTAATGCGATTAATCATGACCAACTATCTAACTGGTTGACAGCTCTAGTTTTAATTTTGCCAAATTAGTCAAAAAGTAGTGCCACCAGCTTAGAGTGAAACAACTAGTTGCTGTTGCTTAGAAACAGCAGAATGATAACTAACTAACTGCTGTACAATCTCACACTGTGAAGCGACTGCTTTGATGTACTGATCGAATTTAGACAAGTTCATATGCTTTCATTACTTATAGAAAAGAACCGTCTGTTTCCAGACTGACCTCACCCCTCTGATGATATGTGACTGCTATATCAAACGTTTGTGATGCTGAAGGTCTTTTTTGTTGGTGAAGTGATTCAGGCATAAGGACAGCCTGAGTGGTCCGCAGGTACAGTGGGTGTAGAGATGTGTCCTGTGGCACACAAGCTCTATTGTTCTGAGTATGTGTGTGTGGCTGCTGTGTTGAGTTCATGTCTGTGAATATGTGCCTGTCTTTAGCCTCCCACCCTCTCTCAGGCTGAATAAGAGCAGCATTGTTTTACTCACCTGCTACAGGTAACAACAAAGCTGAGTATTTATGTGTTTATGTGTGTGTGAGAGAGAAAGAAGAGAGAGAGATTGTGGGGGCGAACGGCACTTCATTTCTAGAGAGCACTAACTCTTTCATTAGTATCTTTGTCGAGATTTTCGCTTGCATATTACTGTTGCTAAATACTGCTCACAGCTGTGTTTTGAACATCTGGGGGCTCTTAACAACATCCTACTTCAGCCCCCTACCAGCTCCTGTCAATATAATTAATTTGAATTTTAAACTTAAGTAAGCAAATTACTGAGTCAGCTAGCTTTTTGAATAAGAACAATGTTTTTCTATAATCGTGGGGACCTTTCTCTCATTACCTCCATACGTCACTGCCCTTTGAGAAGGTGGAGGATTTGATGACCTCTGGTGCCATCCAGGCATAGGTGCCTGCTGTGCTCATCTTGGTGGTTTTGTGCCACTCTCGTGCCAGCCCAAAATCTGTGATCTTCAGAGTTTTACCCTCGATGCCATCCTTCTCTATCGGCTGAGCCAGGAGGACTAAGAGAGAGAGAGAGACAGAGATGGATTAGGAATAGTTATTGTGCCTTTGCAATCATGACATTGGTGACACTGCAGAAGTGTTTTTGCTGTGATCATCCTGATCAATCACAGCTCCAGATGAGTTTCTGTGATGGTCTGGGTGAATCAAGGTGTTCATGTAACCCAACAAAAGTCAATTATTCTGGTCATACACTGTAAAAAGTGGCTCGTCAGATCTATCTAAAAAATGACCATGTAGTTACAAGCAAATTAACTATTTTTATTCAACCTAAATCAACACTTTGAATGAACGAATCTTTCAATCAAAGAACTTTTTTGAGTTCAACAAAACTAGTTCAATTGCTTGTTGCCACATGAAGCCATTTTTTTAGGTAGATCTGATGAGCCACTTCTTACAGCGTAATAATGGAGACCGGTCGTTAAACATGTCACATCAAGTCGCATCAAATGTTCACCAGTGCATTTTAATACGCTGCAAATCATATCACAATCTAAATACATAGCATTATCACAGCATTCTGTCCATATTGCTCAGGCCTAGCATTAACCTGAACTGAACTTCTTTGCTCTATAATTTTATGTACTCCATTGCTTGAGAGAATTTTGCCTGAATCAGTAAAACTCACGACAAACAACGTACAGTACAACTGTTGCCTTTCATGCACTGTCAACAATTTCAGTACAGTATCAAAGTATACAACTTGATTTGAAAAAGTGTATGGAACTTTAAAACTGTATGAATAATGTATGTTCTGACTCAGAATTAGACATCTGGGTGCATCCAATCAAGATACTGAGAATCAATTCTGAACCTCAAAATAAAAAACCTTATCCAATGTGTATCCTTACATGTCAACAGACAATGGAACTATGAACACCTGACCATCCGACCTTTGAGAATTCGTAATGTTTCTGACTAAAGCTTCACTTGGACTTTCCAAACTCTGACTAGGAAAAACCAAAGACAACACCTCATCAACTGGGAATTGCTACTCAGAAAGTCAGGATGTTCTCAACTCTGGTTGTCAGGATGCTCTCAACTCAGAGTTAAAGGTCTTCTAATCATGGCTACTCACATCATCACCAATAATACAAATATCACTTCTCTACTTTAAAATGAGATTATCATAGTATTTGTGGTACATCAGTCAATAATGGTTGAAAATGACACAGTTCTGAGATCCAACTTCCCACTTCTGAGTTAATTCAATTGTTAATTCTGATTGTAAAATTTGCCCTTGTGATTTTGTTTAATATATGTCAGCTATATATGTGTATACACTATATGTCCAAAGACAATCCTTCTGTGAGTGAATTCAGCTACTTTAAAATTGCTGACACAAGTGTTTAGTTGATGGTATAATCTCCACAGAAAAGCACTGACCAATAAAATGGGATGTTTTGGAGCAGCCACACATGAGCCTAGAGTCATCATGCCCAATTTTAAGCAATAGCTTCAGGGCTATAAAGGCCCCAAAACTGCACCGTGGAGAATTGGAACTGTGTTCTCTGGAATAACTGAGCTTCATCCAATAAATTTGGGATGAGTGATCCAGAACTAATCATCCACCATCAGAACCTGACCTCACTTATGGAATCAAACCTCAATCCTCACAGCTATGTTCCAACATCGGCCCAGAAGAGTAGAGGCTTTTACTACAGATTTCAGAAGACACCCTGGATCAGCAGGTATCTATAAACTTTTGGACAAACAGTGTGGATTACAACTGTAGCACAACTGGTTCTTTTCGTCTGTTTTAACACAAACCTCAGTACATGTACACATATACACAAACTACAAACACACACACACACACACACATTTATATTTACACATATACACAAACTACAAACACACACACACATTTATATTTGTGTGTATATAATAGTAATAAACTATATACACATACATAGACACAAACTACATGTACACACACACACTATCATATATACACTTATATTTTAAACATCAACATCACTGTCAAAAGTCAGTAAACTGAAAGACAACATTGTGTTGATGTAACTTATTATAACATATTATTCAATATGTGACTTTTTTGTACATATACTCTTTCTCTTTTACACTACTGTCTCTCTGTCACAATACCTCAAGCTCCACCTCTATGTCTCTCTCTCTTTCTCTCTCTCTCTCTCACTTCCTCTTTGTTGGCAGGAAAGCAGAAGTTGCGTGTGAGTGAGACGTCACAGGTGAATGTGTCGCGAGAGCTGAGGGAGTTGAGAGTTGAGAAATATGAGAGAGTTGAGAGCTGAGAATTGAGAGAGCTGAGAGAGTTGAGAGAGTTGAGAAATATGAGAGAGTTGAGAGCTGAGAAAGCTGAGTTGAGCTGAGTTGAGCTGAGAGATTGGGAGAGCTGAGAAAGCTGAGTTGGGCTGAGAGGAGTTGAGAGAGCTGAGTTGAGCTGAGAGAGCTGAGTTGAGCTGAGAGAGCTGAGAGATTGGGAGATCTGAGAAAGCTGAGTTGAGCTGAGAGGAGCTGAGAGAGCTGAGTTGAGCTGAGAGAGCTGAGTCACATATGTAAATGAGATATAACTGGCTGTAGGCCGAACAGCCGGATATAGGTCTATAGCATACGCGAGTTCTTCAATATAAATCTAATATATAATCGCATCTCTAACCAAACTTTTTTTTAATCAAACACTAATGTCCTACCAAGATCTTAAATGTGCTGTTGTTTGTAGATTTCATTATCTGTTTACGAAAACATCCACATCATACATAACCAGTGTTTCTCCGCAGCCGAGTCCTCTTACCATCAAAAAGCCAGGCAATGTTAATGTGAAACCATGCTGAGCTATTTCCTAAACTCAGTGTAGTAATAACTTTCTGCTTGGGTCCCAGTCTGGTCTCAATTCTCTCATTTAGGTCCTTGGGTCAAAAATGAAGAAGAGCCCCAGCTTCAGTGCATTACATGGGAAAATACAGGCCTAAAACAAAGCCTGTGGTTGCCAAGCAACACAATAATCAAAGATAATATCCGTGTATAGCACCATTTAATAAATTGGTGCAATAATACAGAATTGAACAAGAACATGTGGGCTTTGTCAGATTTTAGAAACTATTAACCACCTTATTTCTTTATTGTACACTTTTCAATTAAAGTTAAGAGTTCCTTACACTAAACGGTTTTCATTTTTTTTGTTTGCTGAATAATCTTTGATTGTTATGCCTACTGTTAACAAACTACAATGCTTGGTGGAAAGATTTTTGCAATTATTATTAAGGGGCCTATATCATATAAAACAGATCTTGCATACGGCGAAATAAAAGGATTTGATGTTCACATTGAAAAAGTTACAGTCCATACAATTCATTTGTAAACTAAGCTGCAAAAATGATGCCTGGTCAAATGACATGTAAAGATTTTCTACAGAGGACAATCTATATTTATTTATTTTTTTATCATGAAACATAAAATATAAAAATGTGCCAAAACTTTTGCACAGATCACATTTTGTTTTATTTTCTTCCAATATGCTAAATTCAGCCCCGTAATCAGCAATTGTGCATTAAAATGTGCAGAAAGTGTTCTCTGTACAGGACACATCAAAGTATTTTCACTTAACATGATCAACAATGTCATTTAACCATTTAACCAAGCTCGGCCAACTCATCCTGAAGTTATACAGAGTTTCAGCTCGGACTGCTTTTTGAATGAGGGAAGCCACTCAGAACATCATCAACATACATCAGTCTTAAAGGCACAGTAACAAAAAACAGGCTGTTTGATTCTATGGGATAAAGAGAGGCTGGAAATAGTCAATAAAAATGTACTTGGGGGACAAAAGATAAAACACAAGAAAAATGCTATCATATTTTGGCCCTATTTAATCAAAGCATACTTTAATTCACAGATAAGATCATTTTGTATATGACGTTTAGCAGAAACTAGACTGAACATGCACACAGTGAAATGTTAGTAAGAAGTGAAACAGCTCCTCATTCCTTCCTGTTTTACTGCAAATCATTTTCTAATAAAGATGCAGAACACACACAGCGCTCACTGTTCAGTCTGACTGTTTTTCTAAAACTCCTGCAGCTCTCTCTCTCTCCCTCACTCTCTCTCTCTCGCACCAAATCCTGCCCAACCCAAACTTAAGCCTGCTCTCTACTGCCAGCAACCACAACGAAGCAAAATGGATGGTAGAGAGACATCGACTTATACTCCACACACACACACACACACACACACACACACACACACACACACACACACACACACAGTGTGGTGGTTTCCTTCAGTCTGTTTCTTGTGACCTCCTCCACAGGATGTGACGCAAATCAGCTCTTCTCGTTCCTCAAAAGAGGACAGAAAATAATCCCTCACTCTTTCTCCACCCGCAGCCTCAGCACAGCGCTATTCTCAGGGTCTTGGTTAGCACAGCTCAGTCGCTCACAGTGGACACAGCAGGCTGTGGTACAGACGCACAGCACAGCCACACTAAAGCGGCAGTATTGCTGGAGCATGAAAACCCTCGCACGGGTCTGATGTGGCGGCCTAAAGAGGCCTATGCTTCCATTCAAAGCATAGGTCAGATGCAGATTTACAGTAGACCGTTCTATCCTGATTTATCTTGCTATAGTGAGTATACAGAATCATTCATTTCAACTCTTGATTTTTTAAAAAATTGTGCATCATTTGCAAAAGCCAGCTGCCTTTTACACTCTGTGAACATCATCTCATGATGAACGCCCCACTAAAAACGCTCCAAAGTTACTCTATAATACAGTTCTTTACTTTACGTTACACTGTGACGTTTCATGTGACTGGCCGTTTCGTGTGACTTGTATATTGATTGTAACCTAGTAAGACTTTAAACGCACACATTTACACCTGGTAGGCAAATGCATCTCCAGTTAGTCAGACTGGAATTCCGTTGCTATGTTGCGCATAATATGCAAATCAGCTCTTATACAACAACCAATCACTGGGGATGTCCCTCTTTTTTCATGTTCTGTTCCAAAAAAAGTTTGCCGCC